CCGCTACGCACCCGGCCCCGCCCCCGCGCCGCCAGCCCCCGACACTGCGCTAGCAGTGCCGCGGCCCGGGGTCCTCCAGGTGCAAATCAGAGGCCAAACAGCCACCCGGCTGAGGGGCAGCACGTGCGGCTCAATGCGCTTTTGTTTCAGGTTTTCCTGGGCCTGTTAGGGTCCCATCCCTGAGGACCCTGGCAATGGACAGAGCGGCACCTGGGACCTTGCTCGGCTGCATCGTTTAAAGGACATAGAAATGGTCAGCTTACCCGCTCAACACACCGAGAACCAGATTTAGAACGAAAAAGGATCCAAAGATGACCAGACTGACAAAATACACCCAGGGTAACTCATAGCCCATAGCGTCCTGCATCTGGAAAGATGAAGGAAAGTTAGGAAAGAGAGGAAGCAGGATTGAGTTAAAGCAGAGACAGGTGTGAGCAGCCCTTGTGGGGACGGATGGGGCTGGACCTGCTTTCTGTTCCTGTGAATCAGGCATCCTTGTATTCCAGATGCTTCCCCAGGACTAGATCTTTGTAGGATCTGGCTCAAGAGGAACCCTACCTGGCTCTCTCTGTTGTTTTATTTTCTGGAAAAGAAAAATGTTGACTATTCACTTGTCTAAGAAGGTGGGTCACCTCAGGAAATCATTTCTGCAGCGTGAGGTGATTCTAGCTCAGCTGGCTTGTGTGGCTATTACATCTCCTCATGCACCCTGGGCACTATGGCTTTGGTGTTTAAAGTGTGTCCGCTCTTACCCATGAGCTGGAGAATTGAAGCCATAAGGATGTGTGAGGAAAGATAGCTCCATGTTCAGGGACTTCATGAAACTGGCCTCGGTGGAAGTATTTACACCACAGGAATGGGCAGACCTGACCCCTGAAATGCGACTGTTTGACATTTACCAGGGTACCACTGCACGTAATCTTCTTTCCTCAGAGAACAAAGTTGTTCAACATTTGTCAGCACACCACCAGCTAGAGGACAGATATGAGGCTAAGTCATGGTGTGGAGTTTTTATTACTATTTTTTTAGAATTTTGCCATAGGTTGTGTGGAGACAGAGACAGAGAAAGTGAGAAATCACCCCCTGCCAGGGGGGATGGCCATGCTCACTTTCCCTTCTCCTCCATTCTTCTCCTGGGATGATTTTCAAGCCTCTAAGCCTCGCACTTGAACTGTGGTGGGCCATGTGGGAATCAGCCATAAACATCATGCCACCTACTGGCCCTCAGTGTGGATGTGTTTTTTATCAAAGAGGAACCTTACTCTGATTTAACGTCTCAAATACACTCTGATGCTTTCTGTCTAGATAGGATTTAGTCCGAGCTAACTGAAAAAAGACCCCCACCTTTGTTCTTGTGATATTAGCTCACAGAATCTCAAATTCCTACGGTGCATAATCTTCCTAAATGGCTTACCTCAGGTTCTCCGAGCGTGGACTGGCAGGGGCGCTGACTAGCAGTGCCAGTTTCTTGTCCACAAATGCACATTCCTGGCCCCACCCAGAACTCGGGGCGGGGGAGCACCTCCAGTTCTAACAAGCCTCCAGGTAATTCTGAAGCAAGCTAGAGTCTGAGAGCCACTGGTCGACACCTTCTCTCCAATTTGAGGCTATCACAACACAACACATACCACCTGTGTCCTATAGCAATGCTCCTCACCACCAACAACCTCAGAATTGGCTGGGAAAATTGTTTTTTGGGTTTTTTTTTTTTTGGAGAGGTTTTTGCTATAGGGTGTGTGCACTCTCCAGACAGACAGAGAGAGACAGAGAGACAGAAAGTGAGAAATCACCCCCCAGGGGGGATGGCCACACCACAATCCCTTCTCCTCCATTCTCCTCTCGGGATCTTGGGCACGCACGCACACGCGC